CACACTGAATAAACACATGTAACCATCACCCAGGTCACACAAAATATTCCAGAACATTCCACAGAACATCTAGTTTGTGCTAATTCATCAAGCAGTACACTCTTTTGTATATATGCTATAATTCAATAAAAATCTCTAAAATATGCATGTGTATCTATTATAAATGTCTGCATATTATAAAAAGGCTAATTAGGTATACAAATCAAACTATTACATTATAGATGAGAAGGCTGTGGGGGGAGAAGTTTATTTGATTCAAGAAGGTCTGAAATTTTTATAGTGAGTCTTTTTTTCTTCATAACTGATGATTTTAAAATGAATAAAAAATAATGAAGAAAAATACACACAAAAAAGAAAGTAATTTTAAGTATGGCTAAGAGACGTTAGTTTTGTCCTTGAGGACAAACTATACACCATCAGGATTATAAATCCTAGAATTCTTGACCCACCACCTGCAACAGCCAGCATCCCCCTTCCTGCCACCCCTAGCCATAGGTCTTGGAGGGAAATAAATGCCTGAAGAACAGATTCAAAGAAACACTTTACCAGCCCAGGCTTTCACCTCAGACCTCAGTGTAGTCACTAGATAACGAAAAATATAGAATAAAAATTTTATAGACTAAAAATTCCTTTTGCCTGGGACGCCTGGGTGGCTCAGGCAGTTAAGCGTCTGCCCTCGGTTCAGGTCATGATCCCAGGGTCCTGGGATCGAGTCCTGCATTGAGCTCCTTGCTTGGCAAGGAGCCTGCTTTTCCCTCTGCCTGCCGCTCCCCTTGCTTGTGCTCTCTCTCTCTCCACCCTCCGACAAATAAATAAATAAAATCTTTAATAAATAAATAATTCCTTTTGCCCAAAGTAGATAGGCTTCAGTGACCTATCTACAGCAACTTCTTTCTTTGAAGCTGACCTTCTGACCTTAGCTTTGGAGCCCTCAACACTCCTTTAGTCAGAAGAGAGGTAAGGAAAGAAACTGAAGGAAAACCACACCTAGGGAAGGCAAGAAACCTTTTAGGGTAAGTGAACAGTCCTAGTTTGTCCGGGACTTTCCTTGTTTTAACACTGAAAGTCCCCAGGAAACGCCTCAGTTCCAAGCAAACCAGGACCTAACAAACCAGACCTCAAGTCCTCTTTAGGCTTTTTCCCTGAGCCCCAACCAAATTCCCCCTTGGCCTTCAAGGTGAGAGAGGGGTGTCTTCTCCTCAGAAGCTAAAGAAAAGGTACCAGACTTCTCTTACCACACTTCACAGGAGAAGAGCAGAATCAGAATCCCAGAAAGGGAGGATCCAAGAGGCACCCAAGAAGAGCACTCCACACAGATTCAACAGCTTTTAACCTCTTCAAACCATCAGCTCCACACTGACCACTGCGACCCGACGCTTTCCCTGGATCTACGTTCTGATTCAGATTTTACTTTGAAGATTTGGGCCATATCTAGGTATCACTCATTTCAACTCGCTTTTTGTTACGTTCACTGCTTAAATACACGTATTTAAAAATATTGTTTACTAAATCTATGCCACCAGAAAACTTCACATTACCATCATAAATGGGAATTGGGTACCACATGCCACAAACAGAAGGTACATATTAGGTATATACTAATAAATATTACCTAAAGGTGGTACTCCTTGACGCAGACTCCTCAAGCAAGTTTTCCTCAGCAATGTCTGGCAGAAGCCTGAAGCTCCTCCTAGAGGTCAGAGTGTGTGGTTAACACTTCCTCAGGGGTTTCTTCCAGCTCCTTCTACAGATGAGAGTGAGTTTTCTTTTAGCTCCCCCTATTGGTTAGAGTGTGGGGTTATTGTTCAGCAAAATTTTATTGAGTGACTGTTATGTTTTGGATACAGCGCTAGCCGCTGAGGCTACAGAGGAGAAAATAGGGAGCGATTTGGGGTTGCAATCGAGCAAGGGTTGGAAGAGAAGGGAAGGAAGAAGTTAGAAGATTTAAGCACAGACTGTGCTGCTTGTCTCCATTTCCTCAGCCACTGCCCCCCCATCCTTTATTCAAGCCACAGAAACCCGACTTTTGTCCTTTCCACCTCACCAAAAGTACTCTAACGAAAGTCTCTAGGGGACCTGATTATCAGGCCCGATGGGGAGTTTTCGGTCCTCATCTTAAGTGACCACGGAGACGACTCTTTCCTTAGCTCCACTCAGAGTGTCAGCTTGCGTCTCCAGGTTTTTCTCCCACCTCTCTTGCCACCCCTTCAGCCTGTCTCAGATGTTTGTGTTTGTCAGGATTTCGTCCTCAACCCTCGGCTCCATTAATCTCGCGACTTCCATCTCCACTCATGGCTTCCATCTCCATAATCTGACTCTCGAGTCCCAAAAGACCACAGGTGGCCCCCGCTTCTCTCTCCAGCCTCATTTTCTCCTATTAGCAAATTACGTCTGTGTGATGATAGCAACTGTGTCCTATTTCCCTCCACCCGACTCCCACTGGCACCCCAGCTTTGTTCTTCAAGATTCAGCTTCCGGGTTACCTCTTCGAGCAAGCATTCCGGAAGCACAGCCCAGGTTGTGTTAGGTGCTCTCCCTCCGTGTTCCCCTGCACACTCAGTGCTTCACACACCTTCTAATGCTTGGTCTAGTAGTTATTGCACTAGGCTGGTCTACTTGAAGGCACAAACGTAATCTGCATTTAGTTCCCAGCACAGGGCTCAGTATTTGTCAAATTGATGAATATAAGAAATCCCTGAGCTGTGAACCATTCTATTCGACACAGAGGAAGAGGAGCTTGGGAGTGGTAACTGGGATGGGTGTGAGCCAGGGAGATTTAAAACCTGAGTATGTAGCCCTTCTTCCCTTTCCCTTCTGCAGAGGCAGCCATGGGTGCAGGGTCAGAAATTGTTTACGCACAGGGGAAATGAGCAGTCATATTGAGGATAAAGGAAACCAGGGTTGTCCCTATCAGAGAACAGAGTTACAAATATGGATAGGGTGGACACTGGAAGGAACCCTGTGGTATTGAACTGGACTTGGAGGTACCAGTTTAAACTCATTTTTAATAGATGAACAGATATGTGTGTGTGTGTGTGTGTGTGTGTGTGTGTGTATACACACATTTACATAGATTTTCTCTATGCTGAGAAAGCCTTTAAACCATGATGCCCTGGTAGCAATGATTATACTTAGTGCCTACACCTTGGCTTTGAAATACCACTTTCCATTAAAAGGAATCAGGGCTCCTTAGAGAAATGTCCGATCCCAAGGCTGGGGCAAGGAAAGTATGAATCTGGGACATCTTAAGCCAGGTAGTGAAACACTGCTAAAAAAAGAAAAAAAAAAGTGAGATTTGTCAAAAGGACACAGGAGCCAGCTTGGAGGAGCTCTTACCTGTCAAATCTGAGATGTGAATATCAAAATAATGAAAATGATTTTTTTAAACATTTTATTTAGAGAGAGAATGTGCGTGTGCGAGTTGGGGGGGGGGAGAGGGAGAATCTCAAGCAGACTCCGCGCTGAGAGCAGAGCGCCACACGGGGCTCGGTCTCAAGACCCTGAGATCATGACCTGAGCCAAAATCAAGAGTCAGACGTTTAACCAACTGTGCCACCCAGGTGCCCCAACAATGAAAATGATTTAAAACCCACTGACTAAAATAAGGAGTCCACGAGTCCACACTGATGCAAATAAATGGTGAAGGGAAATTTTTTTTACAGAATGCCAACTAATTAATGTAGAAAGAATGATAGAATGAGGGTCATCATTAGGTGGCCATCCTACTACTATCAGGCACGAAAGAGCAATGGATACTAAAACTAGTGAGTGAAAGTTTGAGGAAACAGGATATTTATATACTGTCAAAGTATCTCTGCACAAAATATTTTATTAATTTCAAAGGGAAAACATTAACTGGACAGGAATCTGGCAGATACCACCATAACTGAAGGATCAAGGTTACCATCACCAGTATTAGGACAGTGACATCATGTGCCTCCCACAGTAATAACACAGAATGCAGCATCAATTCTGTGGTATTTCTGCCCAGAATGCATAACCTGAATTTAATAACTAGAAAACATCAGTCAAACCTAAATTGAGTGACATTTTCAAAATTGGCCAGAACTTTTCAAAAAATATGAAAATCACAAAAGGAAAGGCTGGGGGACTTCCAGATCGTGGGAGATCAAAGACCCATAACAACAAAGTGTAACACATGATCTTGGATTGATTCCTAGGTCAGAAGATGTTTTTTTTTTTTTTTTCCTTTTTGCTAGAAGAGCATCATTGGGACCACAGGCAACATTTGAATGGAGTCTCTAGATTAGATGGTAGTTTTGTATCAAAGGTAATTTCCTGATTTTGATAGTTGTAATATGGTTGTGTAGAATGTCCTAATTAGGCTTTAGGAAATGTACTGAAGCAGGTAAGGGTAATGGGGTATCGTTTCAGTAACTTCTCCGCTGGTTCAGAAGAAATATGTGAATACTTAAGTACTTACACATACGGGAGGGGGGATAGAGAGAATGATAAAGCAAATGTGGTGAAATGTTAACAAACAGGGAAACTGGGTGAAGGATGCACAGGAATTCCTCATGCTATTCTTGCCACTTTTCTGTGTGAAATATCCCCAGTTAATGTTTTTAAGACATTGAAAAGAAAATTGAGTGTTTAGAACCTGAGTCATGCAGAAAAGGCTTTTATTTTTTACCTGTCAACCCCTCATCTTATTCAGAAGACTAAACTGTTTTGGAACATGTGAAAAAATGAAAAAAAAAAATTGAAAATAAGAAATATGTGTGGCCTTGGCAAAAACTGTCTAAATTGTCCAGTTCTACAAAATGCTCATGAAAGTTTGACAGATTATGTGGAAAGAGGTTTCTTTTTGTTTTGGGAAACAGCCCAAACTTCAATGCAGCTATTCTTCTGTGCTCCTGGTATCATTTTACTCCAAACTTGACTGCAATTAGACACAGAGCATGCGATACTGGGACACGGAGGCAGAAAATAATTATTAATAAGGATAAAAGAGATAGACTTGAAAAACTTTTACAGAATTTTATGCATGTGTACACACTTTATTAAATTTGCATTCTAAGATATACACAAGGTCAGCATTTCACAAAACTTCCTATTATTTATTCCAAAAGCAGTTATCATGAAACAGAGTATGATTATATAAGTTAGTCAAGCAAAAAGAGCATCTATAGGATTTTCTTATCATATCATCTCTTGTACTTGCTTTCAAATAGAAGCCTGAAATATGATATATTAGAATAGGAAGAGATAATTTTATTTTATAATAATGACCACTTTTCAAATATTAGACTTTATATAAAAATAAAGGGGTACTGTCAACAAAGCTCATCTGAAGGTTAGCGCCTCTTTTATTTATTCCAAAACAATCCCTGCATAAACTTAACTTCCTAGTCAATTTGAACAATAAAAACGAACCTCGGTTTAAACGATGAAGTGACTCATCTCATCTCCTGGTTCTCACACTACTGTAACAACTTCATTTTCCTGTCCCAATTCTCACCCACCAAATTTCAAAAAGAAATTTAAATACCATCACATTCCGAAGGTTGTTTCTTATGAGTCCTAAATTAGAGCCAAAAAATCATGGCCAAAAGTATCCCTTTAAGGCAAAGAAGACAGTAGGGTGAAGGTGGATAAATATCCTGTAAAAGAGAAAACCATCTCTTGGCATTATATGGGCAGAAACATCTGAACGTGGTTCTTTCAGAAACAGAATAGACACACTGAATACCATCGAAGTAATTTTTCTTTAAGATGGCACGCTAGGGACCACGCTTCATAGTATGTACACTGATGTTAGGCCTGAAAGCTTCTGGACTTTGCACAGGCGAAAGCAATACGAGAAATCAAGCCATTAATAATGGCCACCGTGGCGGTTATTACAGTTTAAAATCAACACCACATCTGATGCCGGACAGAACTACTTACTGCAAGCTAAGTGATGCTCTCTTGTAAGTCAAAGAGGCTAGATCTCCCTTCAAGCCATACAGGAGGACTACTCTGTGAGTGCCCTCAAAGCGCATCATCTTCCGTTAAAATTCAAGAATCTTGGCCTTCAAAGGACACAGAGGCAGGAGTTTCCGTTTCTTACATTCATTTCAAAAGTGGAATATTATGATCCTAGCAGGCAAATTTGCATATTAAACACAGACGATCCAACCACGATGTCTGAACATTAAAAGAAACCTAGCACAACAGACATTTTTACACATTTTTAAATAATAAATAACACAACGATAGATTACACTCGGGTTTTGTTTTTTTTTTTTTAAATAGCTCTAGCAGGATTTTCCCCTTTTAAAAATTAAATAACTTATGGTACCTCAGACTTACTATCATGTACACTGTTCACAGCTCAAACAGCTTCTTAAAAGCAGAATGCACAGTAACATTAACTTTTTTTCAGCTCCTAAAAGCTTCCTCGTAGATATTAAATTGCCCTTACTAGGAGGCAGCATCCACAAGAACTGGACTCGGACTCTGGTGGCAACACGACAACCCAAACACAGTCGGCAGCAGCACGCACTCACCACGCGACAAAACCAACAAATCCAATAAGAGAAAAGTAATCAGGGAAAAAAAAAAAGCAGCAATCGAAACAGGTATGTGGCAATCAGACACATAAAGCCCCCTTTTCTACCCTACCTTATGACATCCATCTTTACAGCACAACACTGTACCCCAAGGCACCTCAGGCCTCATAATACCACCCGAAACAAGCTGTCAAGCTCCATGTATGCTTTTCTACACAGTGCTTTGGGTGTAAATAACATTATTCATTCATTTGTAGATGCTCCACACATCTGGTCAAGGCAGGAATTTCTTCTCCTTGATAACACCACCTAGAAACATTAACAATATTTTATATATTCCTTCGGGCAACAGGTTTGGGGAGAAAAATATCAACTGTGGTGGCTAAGGCATAAGAACCTGTGGTGAGTCATCCAGGCATCCTGTCAAGTCCATTTACATTCTCAGCACTAAAATCAATCCTCACGTCATACACTCCACCAGCAAAGAAGCGATATGGATAGTAATGAAAGCGACTACGTGTTTCTTCCCCTCTGAGAAATGGCAAGTAAGCAGCTCAAACAGGAAAGGGAAACAAAATGATGTACTTTAAGCTGATGCAGAAAAATAAAAATTTAATATAATCGAAAGCAATCCATCTATTACTGTGAAATAAAGAGATCTAAAACTATGTAGTCAACAGAGAACAAAACAAAAACAAAACAAAAACAAAAACCAAATCTCTCAAGCAAGAGAATTTCTGATCAACTTTAGCTGTTGTGTCACTGCTGGGAAAAAGAACCACACATCAGTGCTTTCCTTAAACGTATAGATTCTACAATAGGTGCTCTCTGAGGCACTGAGGAAAACAAGTGTGAGTGTGTGTGTGTGTGTGTGTGTGTGTGTGTGTGTGTGTGTGTGTATTCTAAGCAACAGAAAATGAGTATTGGAGATTTAGTCACTAGATCCAAAATGAGATCCACAAAGAGACATAAGTAAGGTCACTACACTTGTAAACTTGAACTTTTAGAGAGAGATGCCGAAAAGAATGGCATCGAAGTGGGTTTTTTTTAAGTCTGTCACACTTTAATCCTCATATGGATCAAAGTTCTCTGCGTTCCTCACTGAATGTTTTACGCAAGGAACAGCAGTTAAGACGCTGAATCAGAAATGGGTAAGTCACTTGGGTGAGAGATCATCCATCAAGATGAACGGAGAGCATGAATTGGAGCATGCTACTGGAGACTCTGCGGTTGTGCTGCCTTTAGCCAGGGAGTTTGAGGATAAGCCACTGCTTCTACTACTGCCATCCAAAATATCTGAACTGAGGACAAAGCAAAAAGAATTATAAGCAGATGCATCTATCAGGGTAACGGTAAACATAACATGCAACGACACCGTTTCAAGAACTCACACATCGGTAAGAGCATTTGTAAATCATACCAAGCATAAGCGAGAGCAATGAACTACATAATGTACTGTTTTCAGATACCGGCACAAACAAGGTCACAGAAGCCCAAAGTAGGATGCTCAAGATTCTGTATCACTTTAGGGCTCTCTTGGAGCCACCAGAACGTCCAACATAGAGTAAGCATTCCTCTTGACATGTCATGATTTTGGTGAGGGAGTTCCCTTACCTTCAGCTCAAGACATTGCTATCCTGAGATTTCGCTTCCCTCCCCATCAGCCTTCGAGTAAGAGGACTGGTTACTCACTGAGGTACCCTGCACCATCTGAAGTACTCTAGTAAGTTCACTGCTTCATGGTTCCTCTACTCCAGATCATGGTCGTTCAACTACTCTAGATTTGACCACTTCCCCCTTCGCAAGATGCCTTCAATTCAAACACATTTTTTTTTTAATTTCTCCCTGCACTGTTTGTCTTTCATATTCTTCTCATTTGATGAATTTGACAGTTTCCTTTTCTCTTCCTTTCAGAACCCAAAGGTGTCCCTGATAACTCTACAAGCCTCCCTCAGTTACTATCCAGTTAGGCTGCTAAAAGGAATGTTCTATTGCCACAGACCCAATACCTTCACCCTCCATTTGCCTCTTCTGATTCTGACAGCTAGCTTCTGCTCCCATCCTTCCAATAAAACTCCCAGTCTGGGCATCAGAGCCTCTAGAATCCAGCCCAGGGATGTCTTACCCATCCAGCCCAGGCTCTCGTGGCTGCCGACCACCCATCTGGCCTGCTTCATAAACCTGGCTTCATACTTCAGTATTCACAATTAAGAGCCTTCACAATTTCGCACCAGGCTGCCTTTCTGGCTCTGAGTCCCATCAGTCCAACATTATAAGTGCTATGCTCTATATCTGGCCTGAATTCACTCCTTCACTTATTCTAATATTTACCAAGGACCTGCCAAGTGCAGGAAGTATCATGCTAGATCTTAGAAATACAATGGCGTCTAAGATAGACATGGTCCCTGCCCTCATGGAACTTTACAGTAAGTACAGTGGGGGAAACAGGCTTTTAAGTAATCACACTAATACATATATAATTTGTGATCAAAGCAATAAAAGCAAGATACAAAGGGCTCTGCAAGCATATAACATGCGTAACCTGATCTAATTTGGAAGAACAGGGAGGAACACGTTCCTCAAAAGTGATACTTGAGCTGTCATCTGAAAGATGAGTAGGCATTAACTAGGTCTGGTTTGGGAGGAAGCAAGGGTAGTTTTAGGAGCCAAAAGCAGGCTAGTGTGGCTGTTAAGTATGGAGAGGGAGAACACAATGAGAGACAAAGCTGGAGAGGTAGTTGGGCAGTTGTAGGATTTACACAGACACACTTTAATTCTGAAAAGGGAAGCAAGCATAGAATTGGGAGAAGGAATAATGAATCAGGAAATACGGGTTCTAGCTGAAATCTGGTCACTAGCTCTTTTACAAAAGCCCACTCTGGTCTAATATGCTCTGAGACTAAATATTAGGAGTCTTTAATATGATCACTTTTCTGGATCTCCAAGTTAATACATTTCCAGTGTTAAGCAACCCATGGTACATTTGGAAGTTTCTGGGCCCTATACCCTACCCCCCACCTCAACGACATGTAACGCTTTCCCCCCACTTCTCTGCTATTTTTCTATTGCCTGTGGATTGTTTTTAGGTGGAGACAGAATACAAATAAACTTCAGAAAAGTAAACATAAAAATGGAAACAGTACAGTCCACGGAATTCCCACTCTATGCTCACTGCTGTGAAATGCATCATTAATAACAGCACTTTTAAGTAAGAAGTTCGGAAAATTTAGCTGGCGCTGCTATTTTTTCAACCCAATGGTAAAACAGGTCTAAAATATGAATTATTCAAACTACTGAAAGAAAGTTACACAGATAATCTAAGGCATTGGAAAATCAAAAGACCTTTATATTTGCCTTTGGAACATATGTGATTTTTCCTCTTGCAGTATTTTGCCTAGACTAATATTAAAATGAATTTACTTTCCTAAAGCACATATTGGCCAGGCAGCCGAAGGACACGCTCTGTGCTACTTGGCAGGAAGAAACAGGCTTAGATTAAAATTTGGCCACCCGGCAGATAATCTGAATATAAATAAAGACTTTCTTATTACAACCACCAGACTTATGGTGAGCCCTGGGTTAAAAGATTCCATTTGTAACAAGACCTGCTTGCTTAGGTGAAGGACATGGCTCATGAGAAAGCTCTCATCTAACATGGTTGATTACCTTAAGAGAAATAAGCTAACAGGGAAATTACCAAGAAGTTACCGAGACAAAAAGAATACAAATCTGAACATTTTGTTTTATATATTCCTTTTCAGGAATTTCTTCTCTATTATTAAATATGAACATATGAAAAATCGTGTTCGTTATTAGTGAAATGGCATACTTATATTTAACCGCCAGTGTAATTTAGATTCAGAACTTGGTAAACCGTTCACCAGGTATTTTCACTAAAGTCTAGTTTCTGTTCTAAAAAATCTGATACTACTACGCTTGGTCATGGAAGCAGAGACTACAGGTAAATCCGTGTAAAGCAAGACTTAACGTGATTTTTTTTTTTATTCACAGAGAGGTCCCTGAATAAAAGTGACTTTCACAGCGTTCATTACTAAACCTTCTATCAGGCCTTCTAAAAGCAACAAAGTATGGTCCAATTTGAGTTTATCTTTTTCCTTTCCTAGCTGAAGTTCTGATGGAGGTGTTAATGGGCTTCAGACTAATGGCTGAAAGCCAGACAATGCAAGGAAAGCAAAGGACCTAGACAGTTCAAGCTGGACACAGTACACGAATCAAAAATGAACTCATTCTAATTCACTCTGGCCACTGAGTATACATATTGATGCAAAATCTGAACCACACATCAAAAACACTTATGACTACTAAGGTAGAGCCCTCAGTCTAAAAAAAATAAGGGTGAAAGGTATAAGAGAATTATTAAAACATTCAAATGATAAACAATAAAATCAGGATGTCCAGTGTGACTCATGCTATTACCCATCTGGTTGAGCCACTTTGTGCCTTGTCCAGTCAATAAACTGGGTTCTATCCAATTAAGAACAGGCAGGTAAATGCACTAGAAAATAGACACAGCCCTATCAACCCCTGCACAGATTCTGCTGTAAGCTAAGACTATGGGGCATCCCCTACCCCTTGGTGTGGGTTAAAGTGGTCCATAGGGTAGGTTTTCTGGTCTCTACTATCTTATCTTAGAAAGACCCAACATTACATTTCTGTATAACTTCTAAGTTTTTAAGATCACACACTTAAATATAATCATTTCCATAGTCACCTTGGAGATAGGAGTTTAAAAGTACCAGCACAGATGTCTAAGCTGCTCACTTAAACATGTTCAAGGTATATGTATAGGTTCTATTATTAAATAAATCATGATTAAATCTTATTCTTTGTACACGTCACATATTCCTGATTAAATTTTCTTGCCATGACACATAAACCATTAAAAATGTAAAAATCATGAAATGAAATCCAGTGAAAAATGTTAAAATAAAACTTCAATAAGGTTAAATTAGCAGTCACACTAACACTGATGCACTGGGCAAGAATTTCATGGGAGAACTTTTCCTTTCCTGCATGAGAAACAGACTATCACTTAATCTTCACCACATGGCTAGTAGCCCTCAAAACAGATCATCTTGTTCCCATAAGAACGAGGAGCAGAACAAGAGTCCCCAACACACAAAAAGAATCAAAGCACCATGGAAAGGTGTACTTCCAAGCTATGATCAAATTCTTGAGGTTCGGAAGAACTAAATGCAGAATGACATAATTCCTGCCTTGTGGTTGACAACATTCCCTGGATTTGGTTGGCAAAGATTTCAGAGTTTTCATCTAGTAAAAAATATATCAAGAGCGGGCCTACTATTCCTTTGGGCAGCAGGTGCCACATTGGACACAAACCCCAAAAAGTCTATACTCAAACTTCACGCTTAATTTACACTTCAAAGATGTCAGGTTTTATTTTATTTTTTTTAATATATATTCTTTTTTTAAGATATTATTTATTTATTTGACAGAGAGAGAGAGAGACAGAGAGCACACAAGCAGGGGGAGCAGCAGACAGAGGGAGAGAGAGAAGCAGGCTTCCCTCTGAGCAAGGAGCCCGACGTGGGGCTCAATCCCAGGACCCTGGGATCACGACTTGAGCCGAAGGCAGACGCTTAACTGACTGAGCCACCCAGGCATCCCAAGATGTCAGATTTTAAAGACTGTTACCTAATATATAAAGTTGAAGTTAAAGTTTTAAAACCCATCTTCCCTTTGTGGGGTGGGGCAGGGAAACAAACTATGACAACTGAAATGATGAGATACCACCTACTAATGATCTGGTACCTTTTCTGCTCCCTAAAATGTATAAAAATGGTTTCCTTGGTTATCAAGTAGATTGGCTATCCTTGGCAACAGAAACCAGAACACAGCTAGTCTCTGTCTCTGTCCCCATTTTCTAAGAATTACGGATGTCTGATCAATGAAACTGCATTACAGAGATAGGAAAAAAAGGTTTTGCAAAAGCAGGATCCAATTTTTACGGATCATAACTCCTGTTTAAAATCTCTTCGTTGCAGACATAAATGTCAGCAATATTAAGATACAAGGTGTCCCCAAAGTCGGAGCAATTTTAAGCTTTAATATCCTCTGGAGTTCAGATGCTACAAACTTACCAAAAACATCTTTTAAAGTTTAATTACTTAAATATCTTTCACACTTAGTTTTGTGAATTTGGAGTAATAAATTTCTTTTTAACCTATGACTTGAGCCACACGTTGGCCTGTTACTGCTCTGACTGGCCGTAAATGAAGCAAATCTTTCCAGCGTGAGACAACGCTTTTTGTCTTTATGGATCAAAAGTGCCCTTGGTCACCAATGTCGATGTACCCAGGGCTCTCATAGCTAGTCACAGCTCTGAGGAGAAAGAATGGGAGTAGCAACAACAGAAATAGGACCCTCACCATAGCCACCATCACTGACAACTTCGGCTTTGCTGTTCAGAGGAATAAACATCTGGACAAGGGGTAAGGACCCTTGGTAAATCCCAGACCCTTCTCTTTCCTTTCTTCTTTATTTGTCTGAACCTGTTTCATGGCATCCTATACAGTCAGTCTGTGACAGTATTTTTTTTAAAAAATCACTTCACCCTGTACGGTTTCAGCTTGGCAAAATGCTTCCCTATCTTTTCCCTAACTTGGTTACTTGGTTAGCAACTGGGTAAGCAAAGCTATTTATAATGTCATGTGCCTATATTAAAACACACTTTACCATAAAAGTGATAGGCAGTTTCCACTAAGTATAGAGTTTCAGCCGCTAGTCCTCTTGACAAGCCTTAGAAGTTTTCTCTTTGCAATCATGTACATACCTGGAAAGGCACTCTATACCAAAATTAGCACACTGAGCTACGAAGGACAGACATAGATGAGGGAGAAGAGAGACTGTGGGGCTGAAAATAGCTAGAACAATCTAAAAGGCATCTGTTCCAAGGTTAGAACAGTACTGATCAACGAGTCTAATAAACTAGAAGAATCTGTGACTTCTTGGTCAACTAGAAGTACAAGTTATCTTACACAAAACAATTAACATGGGATCTGGAAAGACAGAATCACTTAATCCTTATACCTTGTAAGTGGCGTGCACAATTCTTCCATTTAGAGGACACCATCCTTTTATTTTTAAAGTGAATGTACTTTTGGGCTCTTAAAAAAGATCCTCAGCTATAAAATTCAGGAAACAAAAAGTCCCAAAAGGCACTACACAGTTGTGTCTAGAACATGGGTGCTCAGTGAACTGATTCGAAATATGTACCGAGGGGCACTAGGGTGGCTCAGTGGGTTAAGCGTCTGCCTTCGGCTCAAGATCCCAGCATCCTGGGATCGAGCCCCGCATTGGGTTCCCTGCTCCACAGGGAGTCTGCTTCTCCCTCTCCCTCTGCTGCTCCCCCTGCTTATGCTCTCTCACTCTCTCTCTCAAATAAATAAATAAAATATTTTAAAAATATTTAAAACAAAAGAAATATGTACTGAAAGATTTCAAGACATTACTTGGCCACTGCCACTATCCCTTCCCCTTCCTTCCAATATGTATGTCAGCATCCAAGTACTCAACTTCAGGTATATGAAAAGAAGTTAACTTTTGCACAAAAACACTGAAGGGCCTTAAGTTAGATACCTAAACTTGGATGAGTAAGGCTAAAAAAAATTATGTGACTAGACCACAGGAATCAGGAAGTGTAATACTAACACTTGTTTTTATACTAAAAAAAAAAAAAACAAAAAAACAAAACCTGGGTAGGATTGTGACGGAATACCCCAAAAATTTCAAAAAGATTTTATAACAACAGAAAATGCTACAGAAAATGCCATGCTTCAGAGGATGCTGGTATTCTCTGCTAAGTCAAAAAAATAAGTCAAACACAGGCAGGGCAGCTACAATCAATGCACATTATCCACAGCAACCCAGAAACTCTTTCTCACACCATCCAGCTGTTGCCACTCTCCCACACCATTAGCACCTACTGAGAGAGGCTGACCTAACAGGAGTTAGGAAGGAAGGTGAAGGTGCCAAAAACATACACACACTTCTAAAGGAGTACTCAATGACTTTCAAATGATCTGCTTTTTTTTTTTCACATTTTCTGTACCTCCATGGAGCTTTCCCCTCTATAGAGCATGAATAAAAAGCCGAGTATTATTTCAAATGATCCCAATATACTTTTGATGTGGCTCTTTTTTAATAGATCATACCCTAACATCCTTTGGATTTGATTTCATTTTTTACCATGAACTGAGATCAGACAGTTGCGCAGCCTCCGGAGACAGCATACTGGTAGTGCCTTGGAAGAGCCTCTTGGGCTGGCTTTCTGTCTCCATTTCACCTAAAACAGAAAGAGATGATGCTACCGTAAAACAATTTTACAGATACAGGCATGGTGTTAAATGGGATGATCTTTGTTTAACTAAAGCTCAGAATACTTCGTCAAGCCATTACTTCAAAGCTGTTTTTCCACGTGCTTTAAGGTGGAAGAAATATACTTCCATATAACCTCAACCAAAAAGCAAGGAGCCCTAAAAAAAAAAAAAAAGCCTTCTTATTTAGCACGCTACAGATATAGTCATGTTCTTTAATAGAAAAGCAGAATACGGACTGCATCGGGCAAAATGAATCAAGGCTTACCCCAGCAGAGATAAAGAATCCCCAAACAGCTGAAGTTCACAGTGAATAATGATTTATCCTGAGAATTAGTGAAGACTATTGATTTTATATTACTTTAATATTGGAATATTTCCTGAGTCGAAGTCAAATGGGTTAAAAAGTATGTAGTCTAATAAATGGTGTATAAATCAAAGATTGCTTTAGACTACTTAGTGAAAATGAACATTTTAAAAAGTAAATTTGGGGGCGCCTGGGTGGCTCATTTGGTTAAGCGACTGCCTTTGGCTCAGGTCATGATCCTGGAGTACCGGGATCGAGTCCCACATCGGGCTCCCTGCTCAGCAGGGAGTCTGCTTCTCCCTCTGACCCTCCCCCCCTCATGCTCTCTCTCAAATAAATAAAATCATTCCAAAAAAAAAAAATTAAAAAAATAAAAAGTAACTTTGAATGCCCATCTGTAACTGAAAGCAATTATTAATCCATTCACGAAATTGGTGTTGTACTGGCTACCTCAATCTTATAAATTGTCTCAGAACATCTGTAAGGTAGCAGAAAAACTTTGCATCAATCAGAATAATAACATTTTGCCACCAGGAGTGCAAAGACTAAAAACCCTCTGCTAAGACAGAAAAAGCCCCTTTCCAAATAAGCTATGATTTAAAACACACAAATACCTTAGTTTTGAGGCTACTTATCTGAGCTTTTAAAATGGAATATTAAATAAAATTTAATTCTTGGGCCTAACTATATGCTCCAATGGGAAATTAGTAACTGTGAATTTACAGCTGTACAAGATTCTTCTGATGGAAAAAGATCAAGCAACAACAAATGCAACATTCATTTTTTTCCTCATATTATCAATTAATTCATATTATCTTTCTTCTGGAGCTATTTTGAAAATTACTAACTCAGGAAAGGTTATATTTTTATTTGCTTTTGCCATGCTTTAATATGGAACTTTTAAAAAAGCTACTGCCTGGCTTTCAACAACCCCTCATTAGCAAAAGACTTTAGCCCTTTTCAGTAAAGAATTCCTCCATCTGCTGGTATATTTTGGAATAGCTTTGAAACTAAACAACCGTACTAATTCCACCAACTTCCTGCAATATATCAAAAATTAATAATAACAATAATAATAATGGCTTTAATTTCCAAGTGTTATTTTCACCTAACAGCTCCTGAGAAGGTTCTTAGGGTTGTAAATAATTCCTTGCAGCATTAAGGTAAAAGACTACTAGGTTATAAAATAAAATTTATTCACTAAATACAAACATCGTCACCATATCAAAACCTGTTTTCCAGAGCACACCATCTTTAAGTTATCTGAAATATCGTACTTTTTGAATCTGTGCATGATGCTATATCAGTGGAAAGCTTCCACCAAAGCTGCAAATACCTGTTTACCTAGTATTAGGAGAGGGACTGTTTTCCTGGCCCCAAAGGTGATCTGCACAAAGAAACCACTTGCTGAACTGCTTTTTCAAAATTATGGCATCCAACACTTGCAATCATATGGGTATAGCCCCAGGAATAATGAATGACTCAACCTATGTTAATTTTCTGTGTTTTAAAATAGACTCCATCAGGGGCCCTCACAGGCATCTGAAACTAGCACCGAGTGAGATCATTTTAGTTTACTGCCCTGTGATTCAAAATAAGGTAATTAAGAGCACCCCCATCATATCAAAAATCCTATGGGTTTGAATATGAGGCAGTCTCTCTCTGTGAGGCATAATTTGGTGGTGGCTTATATCTGAATATGCAGCATGTTTAGAGACCTATTTACTAGGACATAAGCACATACTTCTGCAACGTATTAACTTGCATCTGTTTTCTATTCAGATCACTGAGAGGCAAAATTTTTGGAATATATATTGGTAATATGAATATATGAATAAGATTCAGTTATGAAGTGCAAAAAACATAGACAGTATCAGATAACTAATTCACAAAACTTAGAATCCGTAAAGCATATATTGGGAAGAATATTTCACATTTCTTTAGAAAAAAGGAGTCGTGCCTTGAGCTAATTTCAGACAAATTCTAATTTGTCATTCAAGCTCAACTAGGTTTATTATCAGAAGTGTGATGCTTACCTTTTCTTTTCAGAGGACCAAGAACACTGGGCCTGATGCACTTGACTGGACTCTGACTCCTCCTGCTTCAAAGAATAAACAAACAGGAGGATGTGAAGGGCTTCTAAGATGCAAGACAAACGTTATAGCCCACCAAATAAATCAATAAAACTGACAGTCATCTAGAAAACAATGGAAAATGCCTCTGCTATAAGCTGAGGAAATGAAATGCCAAAACATGATCTTAGCTGGCCTATGGCAAACTGAAACAACATGGCGTTTTAAGCTATTTTAAAAAATCATTCTATGAGACAAGATATCTACAACAGTTTTATTTTTTTTTCTAAGATAAACCTTATTAAAAAGGTATTTAGATTTGACTGGTCTACAATCTTACATTTTTTCCCTTATCCTTACAAAGGATATATTGTGTGTGTGTGTGTATCTGGGAAAATGTCACTGGTAGAACATAGGTGATAGGTATTATATGGATGCTCATTGTGTTCAATTTTGTTGTCTGTTTGAAAATTTCCATAAGGAAACCTTGGGAAAAATGTTCATCAGGAGAGACAAATTTTTGAAAGGCAGGTTCACTTACCTGGTAAAGCGTCTTGGACCAGGAACGGGACTTGGTGGCAGCCCGCTGCTGCTCACAAACATTTGTAAGGATGGTGAAAAACATTGCTAGAAAAAACATATTTAATATTAACATAGTTCTAGTGCTCCAGCTTTCAAAAGGTTCTCAAGATAATAGAAAAAACACCCTTAGAATTGCTTAGCTGTGTATATCTATATATATGCACACACACACACACACACGAGAGAATATATGCATATATTGATAGACCGTTTTTTCAAGTTACTATCACTGACTTTCATTAATTTTCCTTCTAGTCATCAGATTCTTCACAAATGAGGCTGTGTGTGTGTGTGTGTGTGTGTGTGTGTGTGTGTGTGTGTGTTTTAGAGAGTAAAGAGTTCAGTGTGTGAAAGAGAGTTAGCATCTTGTCAATGAGCCTACCTTTCCAAATCCTCTGGTGGGTGATGGTGCCGGAGAAACTGGAGTGAAGTCAATCCTTTTTGGAGAATATAGTTTCTCCGGCTTCTCAAAATCGCTGTCACTCTGTAAACATAAAGTGTTATTTCCTCATAATTCACAATCCAGCACATCACAGCTCTTTACTACTCAAGCATGCCTACATTTTTAGAATAGAAGTGTACATACTCTAAAAAGTTGCAATCTCATGTTCTGGTGGAAAAGCAGATATAAAAACGAATACAAATTTGGAAACAGGGGTGGACAAAAGGATATGAAAAAATTAATGAAGCCAATGACAACATAAAGGTTTCCAGAAAATAAAAAAACAAGTAAACGTGGGATTAACTTTACCAGGCTCAAGCTCTCATCCCATGATTGGCTTATCTGCATTGCTGTCTGCACTTCCCTAAAACAAACAGAAATGAAAGGCCATCAGTGCTCAGGAACAAGACATACAACCAGCTAGGCCCTGTTTTATGAAGCACTAACCGTTCATGTGCAGTTTCCCTGTTCATCATATCCATGCCCTCCTCCTGCAAAGACAAACATGTGCTGAAAACACAGTATCCACATCCACACGGTTCTCTACTTTGAAGAAAATTTTAAGAGACTTTTCTGCCTTCTTTGACATCATCACAGCGCAAGCAGAACATTCTAAGACTGTCACCCCTGCCACGTCTGTGTTTTACCTGCACACTCGGAAGAATTTCCAGCTGTCTGTGGCTACCCAGAGTGGCAGCCTGACTCATGTTTAATGGATAAATCTCCAGAATGAAAATAAAAGCAAAGTGGACAATTCAGACAATTGTAGCTCTGAGCTAGGAAGTAAAATTTACCCTTTTGATCTGATGCAGTCTGCTGCTAGGAACACGGTTAGGCGAGGATGACAGCAACTAGAAAGGAAAAGTAAACATTTACTATTTTCTGAATCACAAAGCAGCAGTCTGCTGTCAGTCCCAGTGTCCAACCTCCTCCCAGATATGATTTCATATTCTTCTCAGAGATGTAGCTCTTTAGATCACTGAACATTAACGCACTAGAGGCAGGACATTCAGTCTTTGGAAAGTACACCAGGTGTCCAACCTCAAAGCACCATCTGTCGCTAGACAGGCACTGACTTTAACACTTTTCCCAAATGAACACAGGGCTGTGTACATTTACGTAAAAAAAAAAAAAAAAAGATTCCAGGCCTTGGAAATATCCATTACCCCACTTATCTAAAATAAGGAACTAGGTAAGAAGGGAAAGAAAAAAACTGATTTTAGTCATTTTAACACCAATGCACCAATGGAGGAAGACAGGCTCAGAAGCCCAGTATAATATTCTGTCTATGATTAGGGTTGATCGAAAACACTTTAAAACTGCAATAAGAAGATTTTGCTTATGTGATCTAAATCAATTATAAAATTTGGCCACTACCACTATCACCGCAAACCCTACTTACTAGTTAAGAAAAATCAATGTGGAAGGCAATGTGTATTTTTCAGATAACTGCTGCTTTCCCTTAGATCATCATTTTTTGACAACACAAAGCTAAAATGATTTGGGGGGGCAAATAATGTTCCCTCAAAAGAATCACAATCGGATCATCTCAACAACTCTTACAGGGTTCTGACAGCCATAATGTAAACAACTGCTACTTATTCCCTAATTAAGTGCAAATAAATCTGTAGGGCTGTAAAACCAAGTAAGACAACGATCTTGTTACAAGAGGCCCTATCCTATTAAAATGTCTAAAAATCCTCATGCAGTGAGTAGTATAAAATGGTAATAAACTGCTCCAAGTTTTTTAGGCAAAAGCTAATCCGGATGAAATTTTTTAAAGTTATACACTAAAATATGATTTTTACCTCAAAGAACATCTCTTCAGTACCCACCCCTTCCTCTTACTTTTTCCTCTCCTAGGCTCTGAAAACAGAAAAGCTTTACGAATAAAATCCTCTTAAAGTTTTTTTTTTTCTACTGGAAAACTAATATATGTTACTGGTAAACTCTTAATATTAAAAGGTCATTCGAAAAACACTAAGCGGGGCGCCTGGGTGGCGCAGTCAGTTAAGCAGCCAACTCTTGGTTTCGGCTCAGGTCACGATCTTGGGATCCTGGGATCGAGCCCCAAGTCAGGCTCCGTGCTTAGCCGGGAGTCGGCTTGTGATTCTCTCTCTGCCTCTGCCTCGGCCCCCTACCCCCAATGGTACACGCTCTCTCTCGCTCGCTCTCTCAAGTAAATAAGTAAATCTTTTTTTAAAAAAAGAAAGAAAAACACTAAGCTACTAGGCAAGTAAATAAGGCAGGAAAGACTAACAGGATACCATGGAAGAGAGCACGGATGTGTCCATCAGAGAACAAAAGAAACCCTAGAGGCCGCGAAATCATCAGGAAAGCCAAAGATTGCAAAAAGCTGATGGCAGAGAAAGTCAGAAATTTAGATGCCGCATGTATATGATGTACAGCTTGTCAATGTAGGCAGAACTGGAAAGAAGACCCAAAAGGGGCACAGGGAAGAACAATGCTGTGTCTAGTACTGGAAACAAGTGTTAATGTACAGGCTGAGAAAAAAAAGCCAAGCACGTCAAGGAGGGTGCTGGTTAGTGGTGTTAAGTGAAGCAAAGAGTTCAAGTGGGGTAAGAAAAGAGGCCCCTGCCACTGGCATCAAGTGGGCACTGGTGACTTTTACAAGAACAGGTTTTTTTAAAGATTTTATTTATTTATTTGAGAGAGAGAGAGAGCACGCGAACAGGAGGAGGAGCAGAGGGAGAGGGAGAAGCCAGCTCTGCACTGAGCGCAGAGCCTGAGCGGGGCTCGATCCCAGGACCCCAACATCATGACCTGAGCTGAAATCAAGAGTCAGACGCTTAACCAAATGAGCCACAGGCACCCCTCCAAGAACAGTTTGGTTTTTGTTTTGTTTTGTTTTTAAAGATTTTATTTATTTGAGATAAGAGCAAGCGAGTGAGTGAGAGAGAGAGAGAGACAGAGAGCACGAGTAGTGAGTGGGCAGAGGGAGACAGAGAAACAGGCTCTTCACTGAGCAGGAAGCCTGACGTGGGGCTCCATTCCAGGACCCTGGGATCATGACCCTGAGCCGAAGGCAGAGGTTTCACTGACTGAGCCACCCAGGCGCCCCTGAGAACAGTTTTTTAATAGCGTGGTGATAGAGGTAGTGAGACCACAAACAGGCTGAGTAGATGCCAAGAAACAAGGAGACAAGGAATTGGAGGCAGTATGGTGTGGATTAAGTTCTGTGAAAGCTCAGAGGGGTGGAAGGAAAACAGGGAAAGAGAGACCAATGAAAAAAGACAAGTCTGTGTTCCAGATATTAGGTATGTGGGTCAGAAGAAAGTGGGAGCAAAAAAGCCAGGGAGGAAGGGACTAGAGGGGAGACAACAGACCGAGCGAAGTGACAGGAGACTCAGAAAACCTAGGAATCATTAGGACAAAGCGCCACATGTGGAGGTAAAGACATTTTCAGAAGAAAGCTGACACGTATACAAGATGGCCGTCTGCATGCTCTGTGAACAGAGAAGGGTCATCTGCCAAAAGTGAAAGGTGTAGGAAGCTTGCAAATTTATTTCTTTTCCAAACTAGAATATTGCTTTGGAGAACAGCACGAAACAAGCAGCATCTGGAATCCAAAATGCTCAGGAAGAATCTCTCTCCTGGCCCTTCAAATGACCAATTCCTTGAAATTTCCCTACTCGTAATACAGGCAACACTTTTCCCCTGGTCACTAAGAAATAAAAGTTCAGTCCCCTGGAGTCCTCCTATACCCTGCATTTACACCTAACCTGTTGTCAAATCATGAAGAAACGACCTCTGCACGTCTTCTTGTGCCAGGCCCCTCCTTTCTATTTCATTCCTCACCTTGCTTTTGGCAGCAGACCCAGGGAAGTGTATTAAGATTTATAGAGGGGGCGCCTGGCTGCTTAGTGGGTTAAGCGTCTGCCTTTGGCTCAGGTCATGATCCCAGGGTCCTGGGATCGAGCCCCACATGGGGCCCCCTGCTCAGCGGGGAGCCTGCTTCTCCCTCTCTCTGCAGCTCCCCCTCCTGTGCTCTCTCACGCGTGCTCTGTCAAATAAATAAAATCTTAAAAAAAAAAAAAAAGATTTATAGAGGACACTGTGATATAACAGATAAGGTGTAATCAGTGGCGACAGAAGTACCCAAAGGGTGCTGCAGAAGGCTTCCCGAACCAGGAATCAAGAGGAGAAAGGGATGGAGGGAAAGACAACATAAGGATCAACAAAGAGCAGTGAATCAACATGGCTCCTCCAGCAAACTAGGTATTTAGTACAGCCGGAGAAAAAGGTATTTGTCAGAGGGTAGGGAGAGATGAGCCTAGACAGAGTGGACAAGAATCTTCGCATCTTAGAAAAGAGCAAAAGTCAAGTGTAAAGAGGCAAATTCATTTTCCCTTCTTTGCTCTACTACTGATATCAGGAACATAGCTGTGTAACAAGTGGAAACATTTTTCATATACACAGCAAAATTAAATTCTACTTTCCAGTATCCTCAGGGAAGGTGACGTGAATCAAAACTCCAGATAGCGAATATTTCCCCCTTTAAGTATTTTTAGCCACTTCAGCTGGAAATCTTTCTTGGAAGTGTTGTATTCCCCCGCTCCCCGCCTTCTTAAACGGATTTTACCAAACAGAATGGCACTGGCATATCTCTATTCTAATCCCAGCCCTGCCGCTTACCAATTATGTGATTCTAAGCAAGTCGCTTCTATCAGCTGAGTCTTAGCTGCTGCCTCTTTTAACTGGGAAAAACATCTTTTGTCCTGCCTACTTCACATGGGTTGCTATGAGAATGACAAGTTTGAAAGGACTCTGTAACATGTAGAATACCATACAAGCATAGGTACTACTATAATTTAAGAAAAGGTTAATGACCCAGGTATCTTTAAGAACATCAAGTATTTTACAGTTCTATGCCAGCGAGACCCTCAGGGTCTATTAACGGGCTCTTAGCCCTTGTACTAAGCCACGGACTAATTTTTTAAAAGCCTCTTTCTGCTTTTCAGTTTTTCCCTCTCCTCCCTTGCTAGCAGCTATTAGTATACCTTAAACCCGAATGTACCTCTTCTGATTTGCTGCTTCTCCACACTACCGAGTTGGAAGCTTATTATAATTGTGCATAAATTTTAGATGATTCAGAGGTCAGAGAGGCTCCCTATAAATAAACTGATGAACCTTTGTGCACAGACTATGGAAATCAAGCGCAGCCATTCAGAGGTCTGTTTGCTTACATCTCAGATATCTTCCAGAGCGCTGCAGCTACTGGATAAGTGAGCCCCGCATGTGAAGTACTACTATATAAAAAACCTCATCATAATTTCTCCCAATGCGACCAACTAATAAGGTGATCCCTGACAGTTCTGGCTGTACAAAACAGTCACTATTAGCGACTCTACCGGGAATATAAATACAAGCATTATAAAGGAGATCTTACTTTGGATAAATAACGTTGTCCAACAGATATGTGTCAGAAATAAATACTCAGCTACAGTCTAAATGATTTTTGCTTCCTAGGACAAATAAAGACCACTTTTCTCAGCTATATTTAGAAGTTAATCCTGACTTACCTCATAACCATGATGCAAGTAGTGACAAAAAAACAATGAATAGTTTTTAAAAATACGAAGTCCCACAGCCAGGAAAAAACTTTAACCAGATCTCTTTTTTGGCACCAAAAGCTGAAAATGGCCACAGCATGAGCAAGGGAGGTAAAATGTTTTTTTTCTTTTGCGAACAATGGTGCACAGCACATCATCTTAAGAACGAGTAACTACGTCTGAAAGTGTTTTCCCCAATCCATGCCACTAAAAATACTTACTTCTATACTTACCAGGCTATGACGGCTCATAATCGTTGTACTATTCCTCCGAGTTCTAAAGGTATAAGGTTGAAAAACCTGTGAAAGGTCACTAAAAAAATAAAAATAAAATTGTTAATGTCTTCTCATTAAGATATCCGTCAACTCTCTAGTCAACAATGAAATCTTCCATGGCTCCTCATTTCGTACAATGGATAAACTCTTCACCGACCTCTTCAGAGCTTCCGTGGTGGTGTGCTGTGGATCACAGGTTTGCCCAGATACTGATCTCCTCAGTGGTTGGGGGGCGGCTAGGAGAGGTATGGGGCGGAGCTCCAGACTGGTTGCCTCCAGCTGCTTCTGGTCAGAGCTCACGCCCCCAAACCGGTTCCCACCAGACATGAGCAGCCTCATCTGTTTACCCCAGAGGACCTAAACATATTACTGCTTACTGTGTGTGCCATGATGGTGAGAAGGGCTGGGGAAGCCCTGCTCTACAGCACATCTCCCATTATTGCCCTAAATACGTGTTCTGCCCGTGAACCTGCTGTGCAACTAAATAAACATGCCTGGAGTTTTGCTCCTGTTGTCTCTTCTGCCTCTAGTGTCCTCCCTCCCACCACCATCAGCCCAAATGCCCCCTCTCCTTGAGCCCCCATTTCGATGCAATACGCTCAGTGAGGCCTCTCTTCAATCCACAAACTGAATGCAATCATTCCCTCCTTTGAGTCCAAAGAGCACAATGGGAAAGGAGATGCTTGAGACACCGACTTTACCTTTTATTACAGAAAAGTGTGTGTGTGTGTCTTATTAAACTCCATGGTCAAGGCCTTTTGATCCTCTTTGTATAACCTCCCTGCAGTGCCTAGCAGAGCGCTATGCCCATGATAGAAGTCAAGAAAGATTTTCAGGACTGAACTGAATTGGGCTTCAAGGGACCACCGAGATCACCTAATTCGGCTCTCCTAAGTTTCAAATGAGAAAACAGACACTCAGAAAGGCTAAGTGATTCATTCATGATCACAGTTAGGGAGAAATATTGGGGCTAGGTCTAGTCTCCTCAGCCCTTCTTCTGTCACATCATACTACCCTCCAAGTAATCACTTGATTCCTGATTCAAAAAACAGTGTGTTATTTCTACAACAGTCTAAATGCACGTCAGCAGGATCGCCCCTAGTCCCTAGCAATTGCTTGCTTACCAGATTTAAAAAGACAACCCCAAAAGACCGATTTATTCCTACAGAATCAAAAATAAATGTAGAGCTGAAGACAGCATTAGGAAAGCAGTCACTCCATCATTCCCTCAGTTTCAAAATTTAATAAAAGAAAATGAGTTAATTCCATTTTCCCCCAAAATACAGATGTTATAATCAGTTTGATAGACAAGAATTACCTATTTCTTTGCCTTCCCTGTGCTTGATTAATGATTCTGGCTAACTCTACTCCCATCCCCTTTTTTGGACTAATTCCATTTCTACAGGGTCTCGCAAATTAGCTCTCTACTAAGATGAATCGTCTACTTAGAAGAGTGAAATGTAATAGGCTCAGGAGGTCTGCCAACCTAACCTTCACTATCATAAGATTCTACCTTAAAATAGACCCTCTGGTGACTTATTCACATGAAAATACAAGACCCTACCACTAAAATTCAAGGGTTGATTCTTTCCATTGTTTTCTAAAACCTGTATTTTCACTGACCTAAGCTACATGACACCCTTCCTTTTTTTATTCACTGGAATGCATTTCTGGCTGTTTTAGGATCTGAAAACATTACGACAAATCCGAATCGCTTAATGTGCCATGAACATGCCACTTGATTACAAGTTATTAGATAAATTGTGATTTATTAAAGTAAATGCTCTGTTAATGCCAGGGTTCCTAAACTAAGCTTAGAAATAGCAGCTCTTAAGAGACAGGTGTCAAGTTGCAAGTCTAGTTCCAGGGGCTTCGGTCTGACATTCAGTGGTGTAAATTAGGCAGGGCAAGCAACCTGTTAGAAGAGCCAGAAGCTTCTTGTAGATCCTTTCAGAGTGGGCCAACAGAGCCCCAGGTAAAGAGGGCCCCATTTTTCCCACAGTTCCCAGAGTTTGGGGTCAAACTTTCACTCCACCTTGGGACCCAAGTCACTGTGTCAAGCAAACAAGTCCCCACCCCCTCAGTTCAGAAAAACCCAAACGAGCGCCAACTCTCACTTTAGGGGAAGAAGAGTGCTTGCAGGCGGTCGAGGAGCCCCTGAACCCCGGACCCGTACTTCATCGTCCCCAGCCCGCCTCACCTGAGCCCATGGATCAGGGGAGCGCTGCTGGATCTCCTCAGGGTGCCCCCATCAGATGTATCAGGCTCAAAGTCCAGCTCCATTTTCTCCTGAGCCATGTCGGAGACTCGCAGGCAGGCACAGCGGACAAGTGCTCAGCTCCTGGTGCTTAGCTATGGACTCCCAAGACTCTCACTGCAGGACTGAGCTGCTGGGGACTGGCAGCTGGGGGCGGGGGCTAAGGGGCGGAGGCTTGGGGGCGGGGGCTAAGGGGCGGAGAAAAGCAGGAGAGGAGGAGGAGGGAAGGAGGATGAGGATGAGGAAGGGAGGATGACAGTGAGTGAGGGGAGGAGGAAGGGGAGGTGGTAGTGGAGAGGGAGGTGAGGTGCTGGTGGATGGTGACAGAATAAAGGAAGAGGATGGAGGAAAGAGGAATGGAGGGAAAAAGAGCAAGAGGCAGGAAAAGCGGAGCGATGGAAAAGCAGGAAAACAGAGAGGGTAAAAGGAGGACAGGGTCGGGAAAGGAAGAAGACGGGGGAGAGGAGGAGGAGCGAGGGGGAGGAGGAGGGCAGGGTGGAGGGAAAAGAGGAACACGAGGGAGGGAAAGAAAAAGACGAGGTATGGGGAAGAGGAGAGAGGAAGGAGAAGAGAAGGAAGCGGACGGAGGGAGAAGAGGAGGGGGAGGAAACTAGGCAGCGGCGGAACTCATGTTGCTATCTTTCGGCCGACGACCTCAAGAGGGGCCGGGCTACAGACACCGCGGCTGCCCGGGCAGCGCTAGCACCGAAAAGCTGACAGTCGGGCAGGGCCCGGCCGGGTGGCCTCGACGGCTCCAGCTCCCCATGCTCGGGGACCCGGTCCAGCCCCCCATGCTCTGGGACCCGGTCCCGAAGGCTCCTCAGCCCTGCGAGGGGTGCTTCTCCCCTCCCTACCCCCCCTCCCCGCCTGGGGGACAGGTGGGGGGTTCGGCCCCTCAGCCGCCGCCGCGGTGCCTCCTCTTCCTCTCTTGGGTTCTAATGGCCCGGGGGAACCCCTTGGGGCCAAGACCAAAATCTACAACCTGCCGCCTCTTCCGCCTCCCACGCCTCAGAAGCGGGAACCTCCGCGGGGCCAGGTCTTCCGCGTCCGGGCACCCATCGGGTCCTGCGCACGCGCCCGGCGGTCGCGCCAATGAGCCCGCGGGCACGGAGCATGCGTGGGAGCCCCGCCCCGCAAACCTCCTCCAAAAGGGAGGAGCGTTTCCAGGGGGCCCGGCGCCTTCCTCTCTGGCATTGGCCCGGGGACCCTGGCGCCCGATTTTGAAAAGAACCAATAGTTTTGGAGACACTGGAGCATCCTCGTTCAGAGGAGCTTGGGCCGATATTCATGGGAAATAGAAACCTGTGGTTTCCAGGTTTTTTTCAATGCCAGTTCGTTTGCTCTGATCTCTGTGATCTCCGCCCACTTCTCAAAATCCCTTGAGTTTGTTGGTCTTTGGAGGGGCTGATTTCTTTTCCAGATAATCCATTTGGATGCACTAGACCAAAGAGAAATGAAAAAACAAAAGCAATGGTGTAAAAATAAAGAGAATCTAATGAGAGTTCATATAGCGAGTGGCAAGCACTCATCTCCCTTTTACAAGCACTGTTAGCTTCAACGATATTAGGAAAAGTCCTGAAAAACAAGTAGCAGAGCCAAATTTTTTTTTCTTTCTTTCTAGGATTTACGGAGACCCTAACAATAGCCGTTCAGCATGTGTGAGGCCTGGAATTATTTATTCCATTTAACAAACACCTACATAGCAGTTACCGTGTGCTAGGCCCCATTCTAAGAGCTTTAGCAACATTAACTCATTTAATCCTCACTACTTGAATGACCCTGGGATAAAGATGGTACTGAATTGTGTTAATCAAATATACAGAGAAATATAGGAAATTTAATAGTTATGAAATTGGTTTCAAAATTTAGCAAAAATAGTTTTACCTGCCTCTTCAACTTAGTTGTCCCATATTAAACTTGCCAAGCCCAATCATTTTATTCTTCAATGTTAGTATTTGCTGCTTGTAATACAGTTTTTAAGAGTTTTTGGATAGTTTCCTTTAAATTGCCTATATTTTTCTGCCAAGTGGATTAGAAAAGCAAGTTCTGTTTCGATCAATTTATGTAGCTCTTTTTATCTCAAGGTCTCAACAAACCCCTCATCTGCTCAAAAAAATATAGTACATTCTATCGTTCACAATAGCTAGTAAATAATCATCTGTTGACCACATGCAGAGTCCCTAACTCTGAGGAGTCAAACGATTTAGTAGAATCCCTGGGGCGCCTGGGTGGCTCAGTGGTTAAGCGTCTGCCTTCCGCTCAGGTCAGGATCCCAGGGTCCTGGGATCGAGCCCCGCATCGGGCTCCCTGCTCGGCTGGAAGCCTGCTTCTCCCTCTCCCACTCCCCCTGCTTGTGTTCATTCTCTCACTGTGTCTCTCTCTGTCAAATAAATAAATAAAAATCTTAAGGAAAAAATTTAGTAGAATCCCTAACTTTCAGGGGCGCCTGGGTGGCTCAGTTGGTTAAGCCGCTGCCTTTGGCTCAGGTCCTGATCCCAGGGTCCTGGAATCGAGTCCGGCATCGCATCAGGCTCCCTGCTCATCGGGGAGTCTGCTTCTCCCTCTCCCTCTGCCCCTCTTCCCTGCTCATGCTCTCCCGCGTGTGCTCTCTCTCTCTCTCTCTCAAATAAATAAATAAAATCTTAAAAAAAAAAAAAAAGAATCCCTAACTTTCAGGAGCTTTAACAATTAGGAGAAACTCAAGGACATGTGAGAAGATGGATGCTACTTTGGCCATTATTTCCAGATTCTATTCATATCATTCCTGCCTACCTAGTTTCTTTTACCCTTCATGTAAATCTTTTGGGAGGTTTGGGGTTTTTGTGGTTTGTGAGCTTGAGTTCAACTTGTCTTTGACTTGCTCTTGTGATAACCAAAAGTTAACCAGTTGCTTAAAAGTTGCCATGACGACTGATAAACTAAACAACTGATTGTGACATATTTGTGGGATGCCTTTTATAAGTAAGAGGCCTGGTGCAAATGGTAGCAGACCGGGACAAAGCAAAGACAGGAGTAGCGTAAGTGGCAAGGTCTAGATCTAAGCAAACCAACAATCTAAGATCATGGCATATTGCTATGGAACAGCAGGAGATGATCACGACACACAGCTAGGTTGGTATAATAATGCATGAAGAGAAAGAGGAAAAAGTAAAAATAATTTCTTTAAATGTTCTGTTTGCCACTATAGTATACAGAATTGTTTTTCCAGTACTTGTTCCTTTTGACATTCTATCTTGCATATGTACTATGGGTTCCTGGCATTCAGCTACACTTTAGTTAGAGAATTGCTCCTCTTTGATAATGGCTGAAAACTTCCTGCCATCTCAAGCACGTAGTCGTTTCATATTACTACCCCTTTTCTTGAAAGTCTCTCAACTGCTATTTCCTTGTCATTTTATTATCTATTTTCTTAGTGTTCTTGTACTTAGATTTTTAAAAATTAGTATCTGTGATGGTTAGGCATGATAAGATTGTCTATTCATTCAAAATATATCCTTTAAATCTTATTACTTGCCACGAATATTAACAAACTCTTTGAAAAGTAAAATGAGCAGTAGAATGGAGGGAAGATCTACTTACTTTCTGGTGTACCCACCATTTTTCTGCTATTCAGTTTGGCTTTGACCCCTGTTCAGTATTTAACCACTGCCTTCTACATTCACCCTGACTTTACTCAGCTTTAACTGCCATCTTTTGTAAACCTTCCAGGTACCCTGGGAACTTTAACAGTGGCCTTCAGGAGATCTTGGTATCAGCTCAGATTCTACTGCTACCTAATTATGTGCCATTAATCTCCCTGGAATTTTAACAACTGTAAAATAGAAGTGACTTGCCTACTTTACAAAATAGCTGTGAATGACAGGTCATTTAAACCTGCATTTATTCGTAAAATAATTTAATACTTATCAAAGTGCTTATGAGTATAGAAATAGTATCCAGAGAAATATCCAGAGGCCCCTCATCTGTCTTTTCACTTAAATAAGAGGGCAAGGGAATCTTGGCTTTGCCACTTAGCAGTTATAATTTGAGTAACCCCTCTGGGCTTCAGTTTCCTCCTTTGAAAAATGGGCATTGTGATGGTGCCTACCTCAGAGTTACTGTAAGCATTAAATGCAATCACATATTTAAAGTGCTTAGGACAGTGCCTGGCATATAATTAAGTGCATGAAAAATGGTAGCTATTGTTAACCTGTCTTACATTAGGAAAGGAGACTCCAAATCGTCCTCATGTCTGGGATTTAGATAACCCAATTCTGCCTAATATAATTAAGCTTTTCTTATTCTATTCTCAGAATGAATGAAGAATGATTATGATCATTCATGTCATAACTTGTCATGAACTCTTTCAAGATAATCCCATTATTTTAAGTTCACCACTGATTAGCTGAGCAGGGTTCATGATCGAACCAATTGAGATAAATATGTGAAGACATTTTTTTAAACTGTAAAGTGTTATACCACGTAATGATTATTTTAATTAATAACTCTAATTTCAGTAGTTTCACTTGCCTTCTCTGCCAGTCCTCTATATGGTTCCTTTTTAAAAGGTACGGTTTTACAAAATTGTTAGCGTGGAGTTAAGATTTCAGTACTCGATGTGGCTTGTTAACTGGTGGTGAAAAATTCTAAAAGAGCAATTCTTACAACGTTTGAGCCATGACAGTATTATTAAATGGAAACCCTGATCTGGATGGATACTAAATTCTGAGGTATTTGTTTTAAGTAAATAAGCTTCTCTAACTCAAATCATTTTCTTAGGTGAACAGCTTTGAGAAGCTAAATTTTATTTAGTGTAAAAATACACTTACGATTATGGCTAAAAAACAAACAATGAGATCACATGGAAAACAATGATTCGTCCGCACAATTGGTTCAACTGAGTTAGCGCCCTACAAGGCCACTTCAGCGGCAGGTGGCAGGTCTTGGGCTGGTTTCCGCTCCCACCCCACCCCCCAGAGGCATAGCATTTCTTAAATTACAATTGTGTAGTGTTGGCTATAACAGGATGGAAAAATTCGTCATGGGAGTTAACAAGCTTTTTGGCCTCCGTTATAAAGGGATAATGGGCTAATCAGACCAGAGAAAACGGAGTATTAGACATAGCGCAGAAAGGACGGCGCTCCCACACAGGTTACTCCTCCCCACCCTTTCTTTCCTAAATAACGGTCAGTGAAAAACGATCCCTGGGTTCACATAGAAGCAGAGGAACAACCACCATGAATCTCCACGAGGAAGAGAGAGAGGAACGAGGTTGGGGTAAAAAGTCGGCTCCTAAGACTGCGCGTGCGCCCCAGGCAAGGCTGACAAAGGCGCCCTCGTTGACGCTCATTGCTTGCGTAATAAGCATGCGTCAGCGGGCAGGGCACGGAGCGCAGGCGCAGAGGGGCGGCACCCGACGGATTCGCGAAGGCGACAGGTTGTAGTTTTTTGTTTTGGCCGGAAAGGCTTACCTGAGGTTTCCTTTGCTGAGAGAAATTAAGAACGATTCACGGGGTGACTAAGATAAATTCCTCATTTTCATTATAGACTTGGAGGTGGAAAATCTTCTCAGCGTTGGGACCCCGAGGGTGGGGGATAGGAGGTTCGGAGCCAGTCCTGCCCCACTTTGTGCCCGCTGGTGTTAGGGATGGTAGGGCTGCAAAGGTGAGCACCTCACTCGTCTAAGAGGTTCCTCCTTTCTTCTCTTTTCCCCCTTTTCCTCTCTGCCTACGTCTCCTCACCCAGGTGACTTGTCCTTATGTGAATGGGAGCCAGAAAACCTTGAGAACTTCGAACCAAGCAGTGGTTTCTTCCTCGACGTGGACATGGCACAAGAGAAAATGGAACTAGACTTGGAGCTGCTGCCGAGTTCAGCTACCACAGATGACATGCTGAGAAGATCCAACAGCGCCCCTTTGATCAGTGGGCTTGGGTGAGCAAGCAGGGGGTGGGTGGCAAGAGGTGGGGGAAGTGACTTCGATAGCATTCCCATGACTCTCTCCATCGAGGTTCTACAGGTATCTCCCTTGTTCCTGCTGTCCGGAGATGTCACCCTCAGCCTTGGGGGGAGTGGGATGGGCAGGCCGGAGGGAGAGCGCACACCTACCCTGAGGTTGACACACATGTGAACCTGGACGTCCTCTTCTGACAGTCCACCTCAGGACCCAAAAGCAGCAACCTATTGGTGTGGAGCATGACTTTTTTTTAACTTCACCCCACCTCTTACCCACTCCTTTGAAGAAACTGAGCATTCCCCCCCCTCACCTCCAGATCTTCTGTGATGACTGTAATTTTCTGTCATTCTCTCAGCTGCTTTGTCACCTCTGGCCTTCACCTCTAGCAAATGGAAATGGTTGCCAAGCGAAAAAACTTGGGCCTTTTTTACACCTAGTTTTTATTTGAGCAAAAAGTTTGTTAGGTACCACAGAAACTTGATCTCCTAAATTTTGCATTCTCAATGGCCAGTACTGCCCCAAACTTGGTTCTTGGGGGTGTGTGAAAAAAATCTTGCTCTTTTTATGTATAAGCCACAGCTATAAATACAAAAATTTCGTGAGAATTTTCAAGAGGGAGTAATGGGGGGAGGGATGTCAAAAACAGCTCCTTAGAGGGCTGATAATGAAAAGCATAAGATTTAGAAACACTGTCCTAACTGATGGTTCACTATTTCCGGCACATATCCAAAAGTCTGGCATGACACATGCTTATAATTTCTTAAAATAGAATTTGAAAGTAGGATCTTGGATCTCACATCCCAGTATCATAAAGTTTTATCAATATTGTGAAAATGTTTGAAAAATGTATTCACTCCCTGTGTTAGTAATTTTGCTCCTCCCTTTTCCTAGCATCATTCTAATTGATAGTTGTAAATCACAACTGTTAGAAGTGAACTCAGAGACCAGATCTACCCTCCTTACTTAACATATGAGGAAACTGAGGCCCATAAGTCTCTAAAATGACATAGTAATAGAGCCAGTATGTCCTGGCTGTGTCTCCTGATTCCTAAGCTAGTGATTTGTCCCCTACTAATCAACTTCTAAGCTTTTTTTTTTTTTAAAGATTTGTTTATTTTCGTGAAAGTGCAAGTGTTGGGGGGAGGAGCAGAGGAAGAGAGAGAGAGAGAAACTCAAGCAGATTCCGTGCTGAGCATGGAGCCCAACTCGGAGCTTGATCCCACGACCTGAGCCGAAACCAAGAGTCAGACGCTTAGCCGACTGCCCAGCCAGTGCCCCTCAACTTCTAAGTTTATTAACTCTAACCAAATTCAGCTTTCTGGTCATTTGAGATAAGGAAGAATATAGTGTACAAAAGGAAAAGCTAACTAGGATTAACCAAAAGAAAAAATACGTGATCTTTTCTAATAGGCAGAGAAATAAAGGGGCAGCAGCTGTGCATGTTGGGTTGAAAACAAGAACATTCTATAAATTCAGGATTGACTCTAATCCTGTTGTATGAGAACATGAATTGTTATGAACCCGCTCTGCTAGAAGAAAACACTTGGGGAGAATGTGGGTTTTATTGGAAGCCTTTATGAAATGAAAAAAAACAAGTTGCGAACAGTCTTAGAAGCAAGGAGAGTGATGGCAGTTATCCCTTCATGCTTTGTTTTGTTCTGCAGGACTTAAAATTTTTTATTTTTTATCATATTAGAGCATAGTTACAGTGTCAAATTCTGTAGCTTAAGCTCCTGATGGATGCAGTGAAATCGGTACAGAAAGGTAAGAGGCGACTGCATATTTACCTAATAGGAGTTAAAGATAAAGAAACTGCAAGGTGGACCAAGTCCAGGGACTCTTGTCTATCAAAAAAAGGTAGCATAAAGATGATACATGACATGCCTGAGGTCAGGGAACTTGGCCAAATGATCTCCTGAGGGCAGATTTTGTGCCATTGTGGCCAGTTTAGGATGTGGTCAGGGAAGCAAGAACAATTTAGAGTAGAATTACACAAGGCCTCTGTTGAATTCATGTTCACCTCCATTCTTTTCAGTTGCATGTGTACACTGCTCACTTCCCTCACTTTCACTTAACTGAGCCTCTAATACTTGTAGCCTTGCCTCTTTCACCGCTCACTAAGTAATTGTTGCACTTCTTTCAAGTAATTTTCCAGTTTTGCTTGATGCTTCCTGTATATAAACACAGTCTCTCTTGCACCAGCATTTGCAGAAATTTGTTCCTTAAATATAAGCTCTTTAATACAAGTATTACTGTTTTTAAAGAAGTTCCTGCACTGTTTTGTGTACATCTTGTATAAATAAAAATACCAGTGTCAAAAGTTTTGAACCTCTTGGTTCTTTATCCTCTTTAGCCCTCTACTTAACTGACTTCACTACTGGTGTCAATAACTTTGTTTAAAGGTAATAGGTTTGTTTTTTTTTTTCACTTCTCTAGCCCTAATGAGAATTAGAGAGTAAGTTCTGGGATTTCTGCCAGTGCCTTCCCCCTGTAAATACCTCTAGCCTGATCCTGCATTTAAACTGTTTAAAGTCAAACTACTGCCTGTAGGCCAAATCCAGCCTGCCGCTTGATTTTTGTAAATAAAGTTTTATTGGAAGATAGCCATGCCCATTTGCTTACTTATTGTCCACGGCCACTTTCCCACTATAGTAACCGAGCTGAGTAGTTGCCACAGAGATTGGATGTCCCACAAAGCCCAAAATACTTACTGTCTGGCCCTTTGCAGAAGTTTGCCAACCATCTGTTTTATTAAATTCTTACAAACCTGGAAAGAGAATAGTGGCCATAGAGAATGATTGCTTTGAGAATATAACTGGCATAAACATATTGCAGTTTAGATATTTAGACATAAATAAGCATATTTATGCTTATTGATCATTTGATGTGGAGCATTGAACATGTATCTAGTTATCACTTTTTCTAAGTTGTAGCACTTAGTTGTAGATATCACCTAGGATTTTTATGAATTCATGTTGAATGATTCCCACCAATTGAAATATATGCTTCCTCAATGGTTTTTTTCAGTTATAGTCTTATTAAATTGACAGACAAAAATTTAGGGGAGAATATAATTGCCAGCCTTAAGAATTACCCCCCACGTACAAAAAAGTGGAAATATGTAACTCATTAGTGACCCTCCAACTTTCTTTTTTTTTTTTAATAAAACCCTTTCTTTTTTTTTTTAAAGATTTTATTTATTTATTTATTTGAGAGAGAGAGAGAATGAGAGATAGAAAGCACGAGAGGGAAGAGGGTCAGGGAGAAGCAGACTCCCTGCTGAGCAGGGAGCCCGATGCGGGACTCGATCCCGGGACTCCAGGATCATGACCTGAGCCGAAGGCAGTTGCTTAACCAACTGAGCCACCCAGGCGCCCGACCCTCCAACTTTCTTATAAATGATTGCTGGAATCCATTCCTATTCTTATAGGGGAAAATTCCTGGAAAATGAAGTAAAACTTAGACCCATGTATACACCCATCCTCTCATAAAATATTGAATTACTGCCTGTTATATACAAATTACCATGCTGCAAAGATGTATCTCGACCCAATAAGCTTTTAATTTAGTAGGGCAAATATATAATCAAAGGACTTAAATATGTGATGGAGTAAGATCTATGCATAGGGAGGGAAAGAAAGTGCTAGGGAGATTCGAAGAATGGAGTGAGAAATGACAGCAGGATTGATGAGGGATAAGGAAAATGTTCTTGGAGAGGAGGCCTATGAGATGGGTCCTGATGGATTGATGGGAAGCAGAGGGGAAGAGGGGACCCAGAGAGCTGGGACAGCATTCCAAGTATAGAACAAGCTTGGAGACAGGAAAACATAGGTGTATTCCAGAGAGCTTGTCAACTCCGCCTGGATCACTGGCTCCCAGATACTCATCTGCTGACCAGTGCTGATCCTAGGTGACTTTTTCACTAACCCATGTTTTTAAAAAAAAGTTAAGTGCAGAGTACTTAAATACATTGTGTATAGTTGGCCAAATGTCCTTTCCTGGGCAGGACTGTACTTTATCCTGAGGTTGTTATAATTTTTTTTAATACCAAAATGTCCTTTTATAAATGAAATGATTGTGCTGGTAGATGGTGGGATTTTTTTACTTGGCAGAAGAAAGATGGTTCGCAACTGTATGTTTGTGCCAAGATTTTGTTTTGAAATTTTACTAGTCCATGAAATCCAAAAGGCTAGAGCTAAATGGTGGCGAGCTTTGAATGTCATTGTAAAGAATGTAACTGAATTCAGCTCACGATGAAGAGTTACTGAAAGTTGTGAGCAGGTAGACTGCCGTAGGGACAAAAGTGAGATGAAGGGACAAGTTAGACTATTGCAGAGTCTGTAAGAAAGTACAAAGGCTTTGAATTGGTTTTTGGCCAGGAGCCTGAAAAGAATAAGGCGGCTATAAGAGAGACCTGGCACCTGATTGGATGTGGCAAAAAAAAAAAAATAAGTGTTAACGTTGACTTCTTACGTCATCAGGGAAACCTAGGTGTAAGGTACATGGGAACCCTCTATATTTTTGCAATGTCTTGTGAGTCTTAAACTCCTTCAAAATAAAAAAGTTAAAACAAAAAGAAGACATGAAAAAGAAAAGACTTGTTCAGGGTCCCAAGCTCAAATAGGGCCGAGGCACCTCGGAAGCTGAGGAAGACAAGCCCCTGCGTAAGCAGGGAACAGCTGCTTAGCTCCAGTCTCTTGTTGCCATGTGGGAATGTGGCCCAGTGTGGACCCAGCTTGCAGATTTTCAACAGAAGCTAGGAATCTGGAATCTGGATTATTTATGTGAAACCTCTCAGCATTTCAAGTGTGTGTGACTAACTTAAAAACGTTTTGATACCGAGTAGGTCAAACAAAACACATCTGTGAAAATCTCCGTTTTGTTAACTCCTGCTATTGATTATCCCTCTTGTTCATGTGAAAACTTCAGAGTTGAGAGGGAATTGGGACTGCACATGGTAGCTGCAATCATAAATTTAAATCAGTTACAGGTTTACACAGAAAATGATGCATTTCCAGGGTCACGATAAATTATACTTATTCTTGGTAGCATGATTAGCGGTAAAGTGGCATGCTTGAGAATTCCTTCCCTTACATGGAGATTTGTTTAGGCTCAGCCACCTAAGGCTTTGTGTGCGTGTGTGTGTGTGCATGCGCATGTTCTAATTTCTCCATCTGCACAGCTGTCTCCACAAAGAACCTATTTACATTAATGGCATTGCTGTTTAAGTATTTGAGATCTTATTTCTTTAAAAAAATTTTTTGTAATGGATTTCAAATGTTTTCTTTTTCTTCATAGTGATAACTCACAGGTGTTCCAGGCTGACACGTTAACAACTCCAAGAAATAACACAACGTTTATGGCACAACATTGTCTGGTAAGAAAATGCTTGTAGCAGCCTCACTGGCCAAGACTTGTGCTATTGGTCTTAACTAGTGGTCCTCAAACTTGAGTGTGCACCTGGAAGGCTTGTTAAAACAGACTACTGGCCCTCAACCCCAGAGTTTCTGATTCTGGGGGTGTGGGGCAGGGCCTGAGAATTTGCATTTCCAACAAGTTCCCAATTTGAGAAACAGTGCTCTAAACATCACTGAAGGAAAAATAAATACGTTGACTACAGTTATGATTGCTTGGCTGCAGCTGCAGCAGAATTAACTTTTAAATCCCATCTGGATTTAACATTGAGATTTGTTTTTATGTATAAGACCATCTGGCTTCCAATTTTTAAAAGAACATTCTAATTTTGAGAGGAAAATTTGCAAGCTCTTCTAAGAGTAGTTTTTAGGCTTTTCTTCAACTTTTATCTCTCATTTATCTTGAATTGAAAATAAGGTTTGTTTTTCATGGTGTTCTAATGTAATCTCTAAATTATAACTCTTATCTACTAATTATCATGTAAACATAGGAAATATGCTTGTAGATCAGTAAACCAAAATGAACAAATGATTCACTATATGAATCTTTTTATTGATGTGAAATTCATATAAGATACAGTTAACTATTTTAAAGTGTATAATTCATACAATTCAGGGGCATTTAGTGCATTTACAAGGTTGTTCAGCTACCACCTCTCTTTTCTTTCAGAAAGCATACATCCTGGGGTGCCTGGGTGGCTCAGTCTGTTGAGCATCCGATTCTTGATTTTGGCTCAGGTCATGATCTCAGGGTCATGAGATCCAGCCCCATGTCAGCTTCGTGCTGGGCGTGGAGCCTGCTTGAGATTCTCTCTCTGCCCCCCCCCCACCCCCCCCCCTCAAAAAAAAAAAAAAAAAAAAAAGGCACACATCCTTGTCTTGTTCCCTAGGTGGAAAGCTTTCAGTCTTTCATCATTGAATATGATATTAGGTATAGGTTTTGGTAAATGCCCCTTATTGTGTTAGGGAAATTCCTTTCTGTTCCTACTTGCTGAGTATTTTTATCATGAAAACATGTTGAATTGTTTCAAATGCTTTCTGCATCTATTGAGATGATCATGTGTTTTTCCCCCTCTGTTCTGTTAATGCATTACATTGATTTTCTTATATTGAACCACCTTCGCGTTCCTGGGATAAATCCCACTTGGTTCTGTTGTATAATCCTCTTAATGTACTGTTAGATTTGGCTTGCTATTATTTTGCTGAGAATTTTTCCATCTGTATTCATAAGGGATGTTTGTAGTTTTCTTATAGTATCTTTGCTGGCTTTGGTATCAGGGTAATGCTGATCTCATAGAATGTGTTAGGAAATGTTCCTCTTCTTCTATTTTTGGAAGAGTTTGAGTAGGACTGGTATTAATTCTTCTTTAAATGTTTGGTAAAATTCGCCAGTGAAGCCATATCTGGTCCTAGACTTCTTTGTTGGGAGGATTTTGAAACAGATTGTATCTCTGTACTTGTTTACAGATCTGTTTAGATTTTCTCTTTTCTCTTGAGTCGGTTTGGTAATTTGTGTGTTTTTTAGGAATTTGTCCATTTCTTCTAGATCATCTAATTTGTTGACATATAATTGTTCGTAGATTTGTCTTACATGATTTTTTAGTGAAATGTTACAGCTTGGAACCCATTTTAAAATATTGCCTCCTAATCTTGAAACTGGATATTTTCCAGGGTGCCTAGGTGGTGTAGTCAGTTAAGCATCCAACTCGGTTTCAGCTCACGTTGTGATCATATGCGTCATGGGATCAAGCCCCACGCTAGGATCTGCGCTCAGCATGCAGTCTGCTTGAGGCTTTTTTTCCCTCTCCCTCTGCCCCTCCCCCGTATGCATGCACACTCTCTCTAAAAAAATCTTTTTAAAACTTATTTTAAAAAGAAACTGGATATTTTCTTCTTTGTAGAATGATATCCAGTATTATTTCCACAAATGCAATATTATACTGGGGAAAAAATAGAATTATTTATTAAACAAATCTTCCTTCTTCCGTTCACTCACTCATTTACTCATTCATTTAATGGTATTTATTGAGCACTTGCTTGTATGTTGAAGACCTCCATACCTAGTCGTTCTTCTTTACTCAGCCAAGTCTACAAATTTTTTTAGGAATCTCCTATGTATTAAGCCCTGATCTAGTTGCCAGAGAGACCTAACCTAGTATGAGGGGCTGAGGTAGGAAATGACCTCCTTCAGTTGAGCTCTTACTGATGTGTAGGAGTTAGCCAGCTTGGGATATGGATCATAGGGGCAGACAAGATTCGAGGTTAAAAAATGGCATGTGTGAAGGCCTGGAAACGAAAGGGAATGTAGTGCGTCAAGAATAGAGTGTGTAGAGAATTTGAAAGAAGTGCATCGTAGCCAGTGTGGATGTAAAGATGAAGTGGTGAGAAATGAGATCGAAGATGTGGATTAGTACCAAGATCTCATAGGGCCTTCCAAGTCATGTTAAAGATTTTTCACTTTGTCCTCCTGAGGTCAGTGTGAAGCCATTGAAGAATTCTAAGTCTGTGATTGACAGACTTTTAAAGATTTGAATCTTTAAAAGATTACCCTGGCTGCAGAGTGGTAAGTAGATTGGAAGTGGGCAAAAGGAGATGCAGGATGATCACATAGGAGGCAAGTGCAGTGACCTTGGCTACTGTGATGGCTGTGGACATGGAGAAGAGTGAGATTCATGAGATATTTGAAAGGTAGAATCAATTGCTGAGAGATTTGATGGAAGGTGGTCGATGCTTGTGGCAAAGATGACTACTAGGCCTCTCACTTGGGCAAGTGATGGGTCTAGTGGGGCCACAGAAGAGGGGAAACTTTGGCAAAAGCGTGGATTTAGAGGGGAAGATAAGTTTATTGTTGGACATGTTCCGTTTGAAGTTCTCTGGGATCTCCCAGTAGAGATGTTAGTTGTACTAGTTTGAAGCTCAGGATAGAGATCTGGGCTAGAGACACACATTTAGGCATCATCAGTAGATCCTATTTAAAGCTATGGGAATGAATGATGTGACCTATGGAGAGAGTATAAAAGGAAAAAAGAGGCTATAGGAAACAGCTTTAAAGATCACTAGTAGTACCATGAAAATACAAGGAAAAGTATTAAGTCATATGCTATCAAGTGGTCAAACATGATAAAAACTGAAAGGTGTCCTTGGAGTTACCAAAATGGAGATTATTAATGAATTTCTTGTATTCGAAAGCAAGTTCCATGGAGAGAGGGGTGGGGTATGATGAAGCCAGATTGGATTGGGTTGAAGAATGCCTGAGAAGTGAGGGCCTGTAAGTGGCATCATACAGACTAGCTTGGTTATTTGTGTGCACGTTACCCTTTCTGCGCCTTGATTTCCTCTTCCGCAAGATGGGAATGTGACAGTATCTGCCTCATAGGTTTGTTCCAGTGAGTACATTAATCAGTGTAAAATATCTCAGAAAAACTGGAAGAAAAAGAAAAAGAGAAAAACTTAGAGCACATAGCACAACAATGTGAATATACTTGACACTACTGCACTGGTACAATTAAACATGGTTAACATGATAAATTTTATGTTATGTGTATTTTACCACAGTCTAAAGAAAAAAAATGCAGGGTGCCTGGGTGGCTCAGTCAGTTAAGTGTCTGCATTCGACTCAGGTCATGATCCCAGGGTCCTGGGACCGAGCCCCACATTGGGCTCCCTGCTCAGCAGGGAGTCTGCTTTTCCCTCTCCCTCTGCCCCTCCCCCCATTCATGCACGCTCTCTCTCTCTCTCAAAAAAAAATAAAGAAAAACATGCTTATAGCATATAAAAAAATCAGCGTAAAGCACTCAGCACAGCACTGATACATACTAAGTGCTCAATAAGTACTAGATGTTTTATTAGCAGTAGTACATATAGAGAGCAAACATGTACCTGGCAGTTTTTTAAATGCATAATTTTCCTTAGGAATTCTAGGCTCTTAATTTGCATAAGTTTCAATTTAATAGAATACATGTTCCAAACAAACCATCTTACAGAACGGTTGTGTTTGGCAGAACTGACGTCATTCACACGGACTTGATGATGGGAATTTCAAGACTTATTGGTTTGGCTTGCTCTAACAGCATAATGCATAGGCTTTTATTTTGCTCGAAGTATCACTTTGTTATTATTGTAAGACTTACGTAGGTTGATACTTGCTTTCAGGATAAATAGGCTGAATTGTCTGGGAGAATGACATGATAATTAGAATGCTTTCCGCAGAAGTAACAAAATCCTGATATATCACGTTACAAGATAGAAACATCGTTTTTGAAAAAATACACGTATTGTTGAGTGATAACATAAATCCCAAGTGTAAGGGTCCTTTCCCATACTAGACTGTCCTTAAAATTGGTGCTGCAGGAACCTAGAGTTCACAGAGACAGAAAGTAGAATGGTGGTTGCCAGGGGCTGGGGTGGGGGTGGAATGAGAGGGGTTTAATGGGTATAGAGTTTTGGTTTTGCAAGATGAAAAGAGTTCTGGAGATTAGTTGCACAGCAACATGAATATACTTAAACACTACTGAACTATACACTTAAAATGGTTAAGATGGCAAATTTTATGTATATTTTATCACAATTAAATTTTTTCAAAATCAGGACTACTTTTCATGTATTTCACTGTAGGTAAAAATGTTTTAGAAAAAATTGTAGTGGTACAGGGCACTGAGGAACCATGGGTGCCATGCAGATAAAGATGCACATTTCCAATCCTTGTAAAAATCTGTTCTCTCACAATTATTTTCTTAATTAAGCTCCAGTATTTGCCTCCGCACTCTCAGAAAATCACTCGATCCCACTTCTGATGAGCAGAAACCCGAGGCCCTCTTCTGACTGTGGGGACCGTGCCTTCTCCCTGATTATCCCTTCGCTGTATCTCCCAAAAACCCCAGGGTTGGCGTGCCTGTTCCCCACTCTTCCACTAGGAATTCTCTTCCTGGCACCTCTGTTGAATTTGGGGCAGCCACATCTCTTC